CCACATCCCACAGTGGGATTCGACCCCACAACTTAAGGATCAACTTCCTACTCTGCGACTTTAGAGCAGATGGTTTAACCACTGTGCCACCTCCTGAATTTAAATGGGATATTTGCGAGGATAATTTAATTTAGGAATCATTTAAACATTAAAGTATATTTTTAAATTTAGCGCTTGTTAAAAGTATGATTTGCAAGAATTGTAAAACCATAGATTCTGATAAAAGTGTAGATGTAGCAGTCTCTGAGAAAATCAACTTAAAATTTATTTTAACTCATTTAGCTAATCTTTACATTGTATTTGTGAAGAAATATTATGGTATGTGATTTTCTTCTACTTATTTACTTAAGAGTTTCTAAATATTGTGGAGTGGAAATTTAAGCAAGACACAAATTATTGAATCATGCTTAAAAATTGGTATATATTTTTAGAAAGAAGTAATTTTAGTGATTTCGAAATGCTTATTAAAGAAGCTATTTTCTGTACTATGCAACTGAGCTACCATTAATTCTTTTAAGAAGATTAAATTTTAGCAATCTCAGTACCCTCTAAAATAATGCTGAAATTGAATCCTCAGTAAAATTTTCTGTAACAGTAAGGTGTTGAGAGTAACAATTGAATGGGATTAGGCAGGAGATGGAGCCTATTTTAGTCCTCTCCTAATGCTTTAGTAGTTTTTCTTTGATTTTTAATAAAATATTGGGCTTTTAATTTGGTTATTTGATTTATCTGCTATATACTTAAGTACTAAATGCCTGACAGGAAATTTTAAGGGAGAAAAGACGCATAGTTTCACTCTATAAAAAGCTAGTAATTTTGTAGCTTTCTGTTTCAGCATCAAAATCTGACTATAATTTGCTGACAAGGGAAAAGTAGTTGTATATTGTATATATTTAACAATATAAATATCACTTGTACTATATACAGGTAAACTTCGGTATCTCGACATCGGATATGTCGACAACCTGGGATATGTCGACGTCCGTCCGTGGTCCCGGCATTATTTACTATATAAATGATTTGCAAAAACTCTGATATGTCGACCTCGGTAATGTCGACTACCCCGCTTATCTCGACGTATTTCACAGTCCCAAGAGCAAAATTTACCTGGTATATGTCGACATCAGGGCAATTTTCTGCTCTATTTAACCTAATTGTTTGTCAGCTGGTCGCTCATCACGCACGGACGACTCCGTGTATCTTGACGTCGTCAGAAATTCACACCTTTCACACCCATGTTTTGACTACATACTGCTCTGTAGAAATGTGTTTGTAGAGGAATCCCAAGCCCCTTCGGTGTCTCTAATACGTTAATTGTTTTATGCAGCTTAGGTAATGTCATTGATTAATCTTCACGATTCTGCGTAAATATAAAATCGTTTATTTATGTCGAAATCTGACAAAACTTAAAACATGTTATTAAAAAAAGGTAACTGAATAACGATGAACAATATACACACTGAATTCAAAAAATATATGCATTAATTTTTTCCGTAACTCAGAAGTCGACATTGCACCGTTCCGGTTTCAAGTTTATAGAGCGCCTTTTGTATCCTGTTCTGTCAGAGCTAATGGCACGCGGATCGAATGTGGATGGAAAGCGGATTTTAGTAAAATAAGATTTCGATAAAAAATAAAGCATTTCATAAAAAAACATATGTGAATAACTTCTTAGATTTTCTAATAAATATAGAGGGATAGCTGAAACAAACGAGCTACAATCTAATTGAAGACGTATTTAGGTAACTGTAGTTACACGTCTGTTCAGTTAAGGTCTATGGTTTTACTATGCAGTAAAGTTAAGGACGTCGAGTCTCAACTCTGATATCTCGACACCTCGGATATCTCGACATTTTCCGACTGTCCCGTCGATGTCAAGATAACGAAGTTTACCTGTACATCATTTGTTAAACCGAGTATTCCTTTTGATGTAGTTGACATACCAGTCCCGTTAGTTTGGTTATGTATGCATAAGCTAGATGGTTGGATGCCATGCTTCGAGCAGGTTAGACATGGATAGTGTGTACCTTTGGACTGACTTCCCTGGGTGGCACTCTTGTTGGGTGATGGCGTCTGTGTCTTAGACATTCTCCCTACAGGTTGAGCTGCAGGGGGAACATCTCTAGACACTGTCTGGCTGGTTCTGCTGTTCATCTCCTGCTGTGGAGTACTAGGGTGGCTCTCTAATGGAACTGTGTGGCTTGGTTTTGTAGGAGAAGTCTTTTGAGGCAAAGTTTGCTCCTGTAACATTTTGGCTAGTGATAGAAGATTCTTTAATGCTTCGCCAATAGAGTCTTCTGTGTTTCTGTCAGATTCTTGTGATGTATTCATGTTATTTCCTTTGGTATGTCCTTCCATCATCTGTTTTCTATTAGCTGGTTACTCTCACTAAAAAGTATTTTTTTAAAAACAATTTTACACAGAGTGATGGCATATAACATATAGTGACCCAATTCAAATCCTACAAAATTCTTTATTCTCAGCATAATAAGAATGAATCTGATTTTAAAAATTCACATTAGATTTTAATTATATGAATGTATAGGACTATATATAAAATGTTGATTCTATTAAATATCATATTAGACTTTAAGTACAAGTAAACCCCCTCCACCTTTCCAGGCACGCACACTGCATAGAAAGATAAAGAAAACAGAAAAAAAGATAATACATATATGTATAGATGCAACATAAATAAACAATAAATGTTTATAAATAATACTGTAAGAAAAACTATACCTTTAAATGAATAATAATCCCCTCTGTGAACACACAACAATTGGTGAACACCAATATTCTGTGTATAGGTCAGTGCATGGGATGGCTGTTACTCATTTACTGCACATAGATAAATGTGGTCATAGTTCCTGGGCATGTAGGTCAGTTTTCCCGCTGCAATATATAAATAACTCCTGTTACTCCGTGACCTCTATACTTATACATGCTCCAGTTAGCCTGCAGCTTGTTTGGGAGTTTCTCTCTTGAGTGTGATCTCGTAAATAGCATTACATGCCACATAAAGGTTACACTTTCCAATTTAATTGCATAACTATCTGTAATTATAGTTTGTACCTATATTGGTTGTTTGTTGCTCAAGGCATGAAAGCTAAAAGCCTTTAATTGCTTTTTGGTGTGAGTTTTTAAAATAATTACTTTTAACTTACATCTTTGGCTTGGGGTCCTGATTTATTATTTGAGTAAATGTCTTAATTAACATATGTCAGATTGAGAGATTGTCTATTGAATTGTTTACCATTAAATAGTGACAATTATTGGTCTTTTGCTTCCACACCCCCTTAAATGATAATTATTTAAACATTTTATGATAAAAGATTAAATTAAAAGTTTCAGTAATTGGGTTTTAATTGTGGGGAAAATAATAATTTAAAAAAAAAATAGTCACTGATATTTAAATTTTTCCTATCAAATTTTACTGTTATCATGGTTATATTTCTATAACAGGGACATACATTGTAACTTGTTAAATATTTTTGTTAATTTTTTTTTTTGACTGCATGAACCAGGCTTTTAAAAATGTTACTATGTTTTCTTTCTTGTATATAAAGTGTTCAATCATCATGATCATTGCAATCTTTTCTTGATAACCTGACTATGGAATACATACACATATAGTATATTGTGTCACTGGTCACACTTTTAGGGCATCACCCTGCATAGTTTGTTTACAAAATGTCATATTCATTGGGTTCATTCAACATTATTCATTACAATCAAGAAAAGATGGCACAAAATTGTCTAAATGGAAAAAACCTTTTGACTTATCCTAATTTTAAGTAAAAAAATACATATTAACCACTTATAAATTATGAACAAGAGGCCCACGGGCCTTATAGGTCACCTGAGTATTGTGCAACAACTTTCAAACAATTAAATTTGGTTCGTGTTTTAAACCAGAGGCCATGAAATTCGCAATTCACAATTTTGAAAGAGGTACCATTGCTTATAATAATTATAGACTTAGCATGCTTACTCTATTTACTTAATACCCAGAGGTAGATCAGAGTAACATTAAGAGAAAATGCACTTCCACTTTATAACCAGTTGTGCACCTCATCCCAAAGGAACCACTGATCCTGGGGCCACATATTTCAAAATTTTGCAAATTTTATCAAAAAGTGGTTGATTAACACCAAAGAGCAGATTTCAAAGTATTAATTTATTTTCAGACTTTGTACCCCCCCCCCCCCCACCCTCGACCCAGGGAAGGGGCGGGGGGCATAAAAAATAACCATTTTGCTAGGTGCACCTTTCTTCATCATGAATATATATATTTGGATCATTGGCATAAAACCCAGGAGCAAAGGAAAGATTTTCAAAGAATTCATGTATTTTCACTATATAATCAATAGAGCCCCGCCCTAACACCAGAACCCATGACCCTCTGGCCATAAAATTCACAATTTTGGAAGAGGCACTCTTGCTTATCATAACTATGTACTAAGTTCATTTAATACTCAGGAGCACAGAAGAAGATTTTAAAAGAATTAATGCATTTTCACTATATGATCAATAGAGCCCTGCCCTGAATTTCACAATTTAAGTAGAGGACTCAATGCTCATTACATTCATGCCAACAGTTTGCCTGCTTGATGTCCAGGAGTAAAGAAGAAGATTTTTAAAGATTGCAATAATTTTAGTGGTTTTGGCCCCATCCCTCAGGCCCCAGGGGGCGGGGACCATAAAATTCACAATTTTTGTTCCCCTTCACCCATAGATGCTGTATACCAAATTTGGTTGAAATTGGTTGAGTGTTTTCAGAGAAGAAGCTGAAAATGTTCAAATGTTAACACACGACGCACGACACACGACGACGGACGAAAACGGATAGCAATAGGTCACCTGAGTTACTCAGGTGACCTAAAAAGCTTTCTAAAGCAAGTGTGATCTTCTGACATTATTGCTTGTTATGTAATCAATATTTTCCAAAAAGGCATTGAATCAGATATAACTGCTTAATGGTAGAATTTATTTATTTTCAGTTCCTGTCTGAGGTCCTGGTTGGAACAAGACACCTCCTGTCCCACCTGTAGAATGTCCCTCAATGAGGGGCCACAGGTGGACCCCAATCTGAATGTCCCAGACGAGCGTGGTGCTGCACCACCCCAGCCCCCTCAACAACAGCCACAGAACCAGTTCACCAACCATTTCTTCCATTTTGATGGTATGCATATATTTTTTTCATACTTTCATAGATTGATTGCTTTAAATTAGTTTATCATGTTTATAATCAAAATTTATTAATGCATTGAATTTGTTTTAACAAAATTTAATTAAATCTGGTTCATATATAGTCAACAAATAATGTACACGGTAGAAAAAAAGGTTCATTATTTGCTTTTTTGCATGAACAACTATATCAACTTTGCCTAACTAACATCTCAAAAGAATGATACACATGCAGTTTATCTATAAACACATTGAGTGTTTATCTATTAGGCAATCATCAGTACTGACAAATCATGTGTCAGATCAAAATGACAGATTTTATGCACAAATGCGTTAAAATTTCATTGTAAAAGACTTATTGGAACTTATGAAAATTATATTTCTTAAATGTATATATTTATCAAGTCCATATGGAAATATATCAGTAAGGAATTGAAACAATTAATGTTTAATAATTGACAGGGTCACGTTATGTCAGCTGGTTCCCTAGTTTCTCTGTGGAGGTAACACACACCCAATTATTACCGGGAGGGCGACAGAGACCAGTCCAAACCTCACAGCTGGACAGTATGGTAAAGAAGCTTCAACAACCAAAAGTCACATTAAAAGTGATACATAGATCATTATTATTAAGAAAAATATTATTTCCCCCTTGTAAAACCCATATACATCCTATTAAAAAGTTCCTCCTATCCTTCTTGTGACTTTTAAAAAGGCACAACAAAAAGAAATAAAAAAAGTTAAAATAAATCAACTAAAATAAATGTCATTTTGAATTTTTGAAAGTCCTTAGAAGTTAGAAACAATTTTTTCAAATGAAGATCAAAGAAGCTTGATTAATTTTGACACATAAATTTCTGTGTATTCTACTTACCAGTGGTGGAGACATTTGATCTGAGTAATATCGGGACAATACTGTAACAGCTTGTAGTTATTAATCCTTTTATAACAAACTTGTACAAAGTTTATAACAAACTTGTACTTTTAAAGTCAATATAGTCCAGGAATGAAACTACTGAATTCATGGTATTAAAGACCCAATTTTTTTCCTTTAAACCGATACAAAAATAGTCATAAATTTTTTATCATCATTACGTGTTTTGTGTCTGGTTTTAACCTTAACGCATTCGTCGTAATCATGGTAATGTTTTTGAAGGAAAGAATTAATAAGATACATGTATATCGTTTTAGAAAATGTTTTCTTTACATAAAAGAAAAAATATACAATAAAAGAAATCACATTAAAAAATGAAATAAAGGCTAGTCGTGCATGTGACCATGCATATACCGCAATCGGAATGGGTTTTTTCCCCTAGCCAACAATGTTGTCCAAAATATTTCATATTTTTGATTCTTCATGTGTTAACAAAATTTTATTGTTAGAAAGATTTCTTTTCAAAATCCATCACTATTAATTACACATTTTATTTATACATATTATCTATTTCTATAGATTGAAATATGTTATGTAAGTTTTCTACAGATAACGTGGACATATTTTCCAATGTTTTAATAATCTACTTTCAATTACTTTTTGAAATAAAATTCAAACATAATTGATTTTTCTAACCCGCGTGTATACTATGCGGGTAATGAAAGATGACCAGGTAATTGTTTTATGCAAACTCAGATTATCAGGCACAGGTGCTGACCTGTCAATCAAATCAGAAGCTATTGTTTTTTTAATGATTGACAGGCGGTAAATTATTTGATCTTGAATCAGGTAGATTTTACCTGGGTAGAATTCATGGTATTTAAGATTAAACATAACCTATTTATACATATTAATCTATAGATTGAAATATGTTACATAAGTTTTGGAGACATTGACAACTTATGTTTATAAGTGCCGTAAGTTCTCAGTGAGCCTTTGATTACATTAAATTTTCAAAGATAGGTCAATACTTTAAATAGAACAAGCATTTCACTATGTTTATTTATCTGAAAGTCAATTGACACTTCCAGTATTAAGACATATTGTTTGAAACATACACTGTAGAGCACCTGATTTAATTAAAAAAAAAAAACCTCTAATAAAAATCTTTTTCTCCTACACATTCCAATGTCCTTGCTCCAAAATCTAGAAAATAAATCATTTTGTGTGTCCATTCACCACAAAAGCAGGGTTCTTTGAATTGCTTTGCCCACAGAGGGATAACTAACAGACCTGACAGCTAGAGCAATAAAGAGGCAGTGGGGAGGTCAGTTGCCAGATTTAGGTTTGTGTGTAATTCACATTAGGTGGGAGGGTCAGCTTGACATGCCATGATGAGCACACTACAAGAGGGATAATTATATACCCTAATTAACTAATAACCTAAGGCATATGGACACACATGTATATATCCCTCTTACAGGCTTTCATGTGTTAACCGAGAAAACCTGTACAAAATATATTACATCAAAGTGAGTTAATAAGGATGGTTTCTGAATATCATTATATAATCAAACTGAGATGACAACTCAACTATGGAAATGTACCCTGATTAAGACATCAATTTACTTGAATATTCACATATTCCAAATTCAATGTTTAATAGTTCTTCATTTTCTAAAATAAATGTGTAAAAGTTTCACATTTGTATTTTGAACCTAAACTTGATTATTTGCATCTTAAAAAAATAACCCGAGATATTTTTAAAGCAGCATTTTGTATGTTATAGCCATGCATGTAGAGCATAAAACAGGAAATACTTTCTCATTTGATTTCACTACATTTCTCTGCATGCATATATCTAGATCAAATGGAAGCTTCGGGTCTGTGATATTCTTAAGACTTTTCATACTATTTTAACATTATAAGCACATTCAATTGCTCCAATGTACAGCAACATTTTTTTTGGGGGGGGGGGGGGGGGGAATATGTGAAGTCATGAAATCAAACAGGTGTTATGTATGAATAAGTAGTACCAGCACATGTAATTCCCTTGTCAGTTATTGTTATGGGAAAGATAAAGTACTGTACACTTATGACAAGCTACAAAATGTTTTGTAATAAACTCAGTTGTCAGAAAAATGGAATTGTATTCTTGCAGTAATTTTTCCTCTCCCTTTTGTTTGTTCATAATTTAAAATTATGTCCCCCACCCTTCGAAGAAGGCAGGGCATATTGCTTTGCTGCTGTCTGTCAGGCAGTTGGTCTGTTGGTCCACAATCAGTTTCCATTCATTTTCTTTGCAGAGATTGCACATATTGAAAAGAAATTTGGTATACACTTTATCATAAAGATATCTAGGCCAGATTCTGTTTTGATTACGATCATGCCTTTTTTTGACAGAGTTATGCCCCTGACTTAGAAAAATTCCAATTATTTGCAATTTCTGTTCATTTTCTTTACAGTGGTACGTTGCACATATTGAAATGAAATTTGGTATACAGCTTTATCATAAGAACATCTAGGTCAAAGTTTGGTTTGGGTATGGTCAAGCCATTTTTGACAGATTTACGTCCCTTGGGGTTCGAATAATTCCAATTATTTTGGGGAGGGGGGGGCATATAAGTGTTTTACAAACATCTCTTGTTGAGTTCTTTTATGTTTTCAATTTTTTTCTCCTAAACATAAATTTGCAAAAAATTTACAGTTTTTAGCTCACCTGAGCTGAAAAATCTAGCCCCCTTTTAGCTTATGAATCTTGCCGCTTTTACAAGCAGGCATCATTAATACAGTCCCATTAAGTATTCTAATGCCTTATGAAGGTTCTGTAGAAACAGACAGAATGTAGTTCTATTTTGTGTTTTACAGGCTCGTCAAGTCCAGTCTGTCTTCCCACACATCCCTATGAATGTCATCATTGAGGATTTGAGGAATACAAGATCTGTGGACTTCACCATTGAAAATATTTTAGAAGGCAGAGTTCAAGTGCCTCCTGTAAGTATCACCTAACTGAAGGCAATGAAATGTTTTATTTGGTCAGTCAGAGGTAAATATATACTGGGAAATAATATTGACTTGGTCAGCCAAGATTAAATTATGCTGGGAAATGATATTGACTTGGTTAGCCAAAGATAAACACAGTAAAGCCTGTTTTCAGAGGCCAACTTTGGGAAGACTGGAGACTGGCCACTTAAGACAGGTGGCCTTTTATTCCTGTTTCCCTAAGAAATAGCCAGTCAGTCAATAAATGAACAAAATTTAACACTACAGTTAATTGATCATTGATAAATAAATGAGAGAATAAAACAGTTAAATTTCACAAAAGCTTTTTATGAGCACATATATATATTAATCTATGTACTTTAAAAGAAATGTATCATTCCCAAAACGTTTTGTGCATGTTTCTTTTCAGTGCCTCACTATAATTTTTTTCTTATTATCCCCCTCCCCCATATGTGTATGAGCAGAGATTGGTAGCTCCCTATGGTTTGGCAGTTCCAATATTTTAATAGCATAGAATTTTTGTGTTAATTGCTCAGTTCGGTGTTATATAGAATTAGAAGTAAACTATGTAAGAAGAAAAACAAAATTTCCGTGTATAAGTGTAACTTAAGGTTTAAAGAATTAACTAAGTGACAAGTGATGCAAACAAAAATGGATGCATGCTTTTTTATATATTTTTGTACCATTTTTTCATTGATTGTAAATGATACAAATGATAATTTTTTTTTATTTTTAATTGATAAAAAAGAGCTCTAGGAATATAGATAATCCATCATTCTTTAAGTTGAATAGAGAAACATTGAAATGCTCTTTCCTTGACAGCCTGGACTAACCACAATGGCTGCCTTGACAGATTCGGAGGAGGGCAGTGATGACAGCGATGCCCAGTCCAGTACCTCACAGTCCTCTAACCGGGCCCTACAACTGACCAGGCCCGCTGAGGGGCCGGAGGAGGTCAGCAGCATAATGGACGATAATGTCCCATACCTAATGGAAACAAAACCAAGGTAACATCCTCTACACTTCAGAGAAATTTAAATCAAAGTACTGAAACAGTACTGAAAGACGGGGTCAAAATAATCTTCATACTAGATTTCACAAATGTGATTTTTTAAGAGTTTTAATAGCAAATTAATTTTTCATTAACATACTAAAAACAAAACGATGAATAATATACATTCACATTTTTCATGTAATTTGAAGTAGAAATATTAATAATTGCTCAGTCTGGAAACCTTTCTAAACTGCTCTGAATTTCATCAGGTAGGAATTAATATTTTTTCCAGAAGTAAACAATGGATGATGCATGCGCAGTCATAGTAATACGCAGGATAGTACTGATAGTACTTTGTTTACTAGTGTGATTTACAGTTAATTTTTTCAGTTTTAAATTATCAAAATACTTTATTAGTTTGAGTTAGAAAAAGGTTCATATCACTTTCTTCAGTTTGATACAGAATGTTTATGTTTTGATCAAAACAATTTCTGCACTCTTTCATATGCATATCGAGATTTAATTCATGTGTTATCACCACGGCTTCCGTTTTGAGGCCTCTGACAGTAAACTAAAAGATGGGGTCACATGACCCCATCTAAAAATTGATATGTTACAAGATTCAATGCAAATACTTGTAAGTTATGTTACTAGACTGAATACAAATAACTGAAATAAGCTACCAGTAGATCTTGTTAAGGTATACCCAAAAACCTCAAAACTTCCAGATACCTCAAATAAAACCAAAATATTTATACACATGCTGTGTGTATGGCAATCAATACCAGCCAAGTTTTGTTTGTTGTTTAACTTTCCTTGGAGAATCGCTCATTTGGAGATGCCACCATTTGCCAGTGGAGAGCTGCAAACTTTGACTTATACTTGGCACTCTGGGCCATTGAACAGTGAGGGATCTTTTTCTGCCAACACCTACTATGACACAGAACCTCAATTTTTATGGTCTCATTCAAAGGTCCAGTCTCTCCCTGGGTGAGAGTCCCGCATTGGATTTGAAAACCCCAACGTCTGCGCTAGAGCAGACGCTCTAATCACTGTGCCATTTTGTTGCGTTTTATTCATTTGTTAAATTTTTAGCTTAATCAACTGAATCAGCTATAAAGTTGAGGAGAATCATGGAATCATTTTAATTCATGGGGTTCCATGTTTGTGGGTAAGCAAAATGTTGTTTGTCTTGGGGATGACTAATTTTGTGGATAGCTCATATACATGTATTCAGAACATTCAATGAATAAATGTATTGAAATAAAATTGGGGAATATAAATTTGTAGATAAGGGTGCCCCGAGAAATACACCAACATTGGCCCCTCATGAGCAGTTATGATTCCAAGTATGTTACAGTTCAGAATTATCAGAAACTAATACATGTACTTGACAGGTCTGGTGTGCCTTGTGACCTCTAAACTCTCATTTAAGAAAGTTCAAAGTTATAGCAAGATGTTAGATATTTGCCTACAACAGATTTATATTCACGAGTTTCAGTGGGTCGCAAAATTCGCAAATATTTCTCGCATGCGAATAAAAGTTGGTTTATACTGCATGTTGATCATCATGTACTAAAATATCATAAATATTCTTTTTCTAGTGATGAAACTCAGTTTACCAGGGGTGGAAGATTTTCAAAATCTGCTTCAGAGAGAGAAACAATGTTACAGAGTAGAAAAGAACAAATGTTACAGAATGCAAGAAAGTAAGTAAATCTCTAAATATATAAATTACACCTAGATGATGATCATTAATAATCAGAATGCATGTATTTTATCCTAATATTCTACCAGGATATATAAGTGTAGTAGCTTGCCATAAGAATGACACACAACATGGTAATCTGATTATTGTGTAATCAAACAGGATGAATGTCAATTGTTAAGACATAATTAGTAACTGAACATTGTTAAAGATTATATAACATGAACTTGCATTATATTGACTTCTGCACAATACAGTAACTTGGAGCTGATTAAATTTATTAAATCCTGTGTTAAAATTTTATTTAATTTTATAAAATACAGGGATCTAGTAAAAATTTATTGAATAAGTTGTTTACTTACATACCATTTATATTAAAGAGCATAATGCACTGTATGGTATAACTTTACAAGTGCCTTTGTACACCAGCCATGATATAAATTATGATCAACTATTAATGAAACTGCTTGAAAACAATTTTTTATTAGTCTGGTTGATACAGTACTTTCTAGTGCTGGGTATCGCGACTGAAAAATCGTATCGCTATATATTGCAATATTATATTTTGTATTGCAATATATCACGATATAAATTTTTTAATAAATTTTGCTTTTCGTCAATGTCAAATGAAAACAGAAACTCAAATTACATGTATTTCGAGTTGATATTGCAACTGCCTGGTCGCGTTGTGTTGGCGCAAGTGGCAAGCTAAGTTTTTTGTGGCACAACTTGACGAATAAAGTTATAATATTCTGATTCGGCTTTAACAATAAGGGCTTTCATGTAACAGTTGTCGTCTTTTCGTTTCTGAGAGAGACATGTCTCTCATTTCTGATCACACTGACACTTCACGTCGCTTCAGACGCTTGCCGCCATATTTACCTTGAAAAGGGCAAATAACTCTTTTTATAACAATTTATAGCATATCGAACCCGAACCGGTATTCACAAAAAAATACCGTGATACGTATTGTGAAGAAAAAAATCGGGATACACCGGTTAACCGGTAATATCGCACAGCACTAGTACTTTCCTTGTCAGAGAAAAATTTTTTTTTCTTTTGAAAGCTTTAAAAAACATGCCAAGCAAAGTGGAACAGGAAAACATGGGGGGTGGGGTGGGGCATACATGTTAACTCTTTTTCAACTCGATCTCCCGCCTTTTCTACCGCTTTTCTACAAAAGTCTAAAGTATTTTTGGTTCGCTTGGGTATCCATTTTTGAAGCCACTCTCATAAAATCTCGCTAGATATCGTGTGAACTCGGAATCATACAAACGCTTTTTTTGTACATAGATTTCAAGCACGGATTTGACAACGACAACAACACAAGACTACCAGTGATTACATTGGTTACGATAAATTAATCAACATCCCTGCCATGAAAAAGGAGATACAGCTTTTAAGAATTAGATAAAAACATTTGACATCGTCTTTAAAAGCACAGAAGCTCATAACTTTATCAATAAAGTCAATAGAAATCACTCGATTGACCAAGCCATGTGGCAAATTCAATCATCGCGGGAAAGATTTATATAACGAAAGATAGGAACTTATTTTAGAATTAAACCATGTCATCATTTGTTTTGTTTAAAAACTGCATGAACATTCAGAATTATTGCTTCTAGGCTATATCAGCAAAGATCACTCTTCAAAAGGCTAAGTAAAACAGCCAATCAAAGCAAAATGATGAGCATGAAAAATATTTGAATTTGTACAATTTATGTCAAAATTAAGGTGTTTCTGTCTTCTTCTTTGCTGTTGATATTTAAGATTAATTAGTGTAGGTACCTGATTTCATTTAAGGCTTATAATATACATGTATATTACATGAAAGATATCGATAATCCAAGCGTTAAACAACACGCGCGCAATGCTACCGCTTTTGAGGTCTGAATCTCCCTATTTTTCATCACAATAGGTTAACATGTATGGGTGGGGGGAGGTGTTGGATTCAACATTTTAGTTTACTGAATCATGTATATTTAAAGAAAAAGTTTCTGTTGTTTTTTTTTTTTATATTATTGATGATCAAGCAGTTGTCTTTGGCAAATTATCAAGGAAGCCAATATTGCTACAGTAAATCACATTCTAAAACCAAAAAAAAATAATTGGCAATTATTCTCTAAACAAAAACATTAAGGTTTCATTCAGCTGTTCATTTTTATAGGAAATATCTAAGTCGACAAACAAGTTCAGAAAAGGAGGCAGCATCTCAAATTAGTCAAACAAGTGAGTCAACAGAGAACAGTACAACAGGTCAGAGCGAGTTACAGCAGCGACGAGAACTGGCGTTTCAGGCAGCTCAGCGTCGCTTTAACAGCTCGTAGTCATTGTAATGAACACATCAGTGTTGTGATCTTGTCAATGCAAAGTTAGAAGAAACTGAAAATATATTTTGTACCATTTATAACAGATTTAATGCTTTAAAGTCTCAAAGGTTATTATTTGTATTTCTATTTTGTAAATTGCAGAAAGTATAGATTAACTTTCAGTTTTTTATTGAATTATTATAATTTTTTTTTTTTTTTTTGAATAACTGTGTCCCTGAAATCAGGTTAATGTTTTGGGAATATTGATCAGAAGTTTGTACTGTGTATAATGTGTTTAATGCTTATGAGAAGGGAGCATAATTTAATAATAAAACATGTATTAATATACTGAAATTTTTATCTACCGGTATTTTAATAAGGATATGATAAGTGTATGAACTAAATTATTATCCTTAATTTTGAAAGGCATATTGATTTTTGTAAGTAAAGTGACTGTGTCTTCTTTTTTAATTTGACTTTTCAAGGTTAATGGTACATTGGAATGAACAATCCCTACATATATGCATTGTATATATGCATTTTTAGGTCACCTGAGTCACTCAGGTGACTTATTGCTATCTGTTTTTGTCCGTCGTCGTACGTCGTTCGTCGTCAATCGGTCGTAAACTTTTGAACATTTTCAGCTTCTTCTCTGCAACCACTGAACCAATTTCAACCAAATTTGGCACAAAGCATCTATGGGTGAAGGGGAACAAAAATTGTGAATTTCATGATCCTTGTCCCCCTGGGGCCTGGGGGGTGGGGCCAAAACCACTAAAATTAATGCAATCTTTAAAAATCTTCTTCTTTACTCCTGGATATCAAGCAGTCAAACTGTTTGCATGATTGTAATCAGCATTGAGTCCTTTACCAAAATTGTGAAATTCATGGCCCTGGGGTCAGGGGTTCTTGTGCTAGGGCGGGGCTTAATAAGTATATAGTGAAAATGCATTATTTCTTTGAAAATCTTCTTCTCTGCTCCTGAAAATTAAATAAACTAACTAGGTACATAGTTATGATGAGCAAGAGTGCCTCTACCAAAATTGTGAATTTTATGGCCCCAGGGTCAGGGGTTCTGGTGTTAGGGCGGGGCTCTATTGATTATATAGAGAAAATACATGAATTCTTTGAAAATCTTCTTCTTTACTCCTGGGTATTAAATAAAAACTAACATAAAATACATAGTTACCAAAATGAATTTTATGGCCCTAGGGTCAGGGGTTCAAGGGTGGGGCTCTATTGATTATATAGTGAAAATACATGAATTCTTTGAAAATCTTCTTCTCTGCTCCTAGATTTTATATAATTTAACTAAATAAATATGATGAATTTTACCAAAATTGTGGCCCCAGGGTCAGGGGTTATGGTGTTAGGGTGGGGCTCTTTTGATTATATAGTGAAAATACATGAATTCTTTGAAAATCTTCTTCTCTGCTCCTAGGTTTTAAATAAACTAACTAAGTACATAATTATGATGAGCAAGAGTGCCTCTACCAAAATTGTGAATTTTGTAGCCCCAGGGTCAGGGATTCTGGTGTTAGGGTGGGGCTGTATTGATTATACATGTATATAGAGAAAAAAACATTAAATCTTTGAATATTTTCTTCTTTGCTCCTAGGTTTTAAGCAGATGAACTGTCTATATAGTTATGAGCAGTCCCTAATCTTCAAGAATTGTAAATTTCAAGGCCCCAGGGTCAGTTGTACCATAGAGGGGGGTGGGGTGGGGGGGTCTGTACTTATATACTGAAAATGAATGGTTTGAAATGTGCTCCTTGGTATTAATCAAATATTTTTGAAAAGCAAGGATGCCTTTCCAAAAATAGTGCAATGTGTGCATCTAGGCCTAAGAGTCAAGGGTTCATGTGTGGTAGGGGCACTACTTATTGCTGAATATTACTGATTAGTTGAAATGCATTTTTTGTTCCCCTACCCTGCCTATGGGTATAAAGTAACCAAACTAAGGAACTGCTAAGTGTATAGTTATGATGACCAAATTGTAAATGCTATAGCATCTGGCTTAAAACATGGATCAAATTCAATCAATGGAAAGTTGTTGAATAATGCTCAGGTGACCTATAAGGCCCATGGGCCTCTTGTTTTCTTGTACACTGTACCTACAAGTCATTCCAATAATTCAATGCTTTTTACAAGCCATACATGTTTCATGTAATAAAATTGCTATCTTGCATTATCTTTTATTATTTTGTTTTGACAGTGGAATTTATCAGATAGATAAAGCAAAAAATGCTATTATCAGCACTGTTAGTAGCAATTAAAAATTCTTCATCGGTTTTCTTTACCAAGCCTTTCATGTACCGGGTATATGTATATATATACTTCAATTTGACAAAGTTTTTAAAGTTAAACTTTGAAGAGTGATATAAAATCATACTCTACATTTGTCAGTGTGTCTAGGTTTCTCCAATTCTTTTGTTATTTGATCACGTGTTATCAAAATAAATTATTCTAATGTTGATAAGACAGAATTGAAAAATTTGTAGAATTATTTGATAAAACTATAGCCTTCTACAGTAGATAGGCCTATGGTCCATAGGCTTATCTACTGTAGAAGCAGAAATTTCATGGGGGAGTAATTTTGCAGGACTCAATAACCCTTGCATCCAGGTCCTGTAAAAGGACCCTTTCCCAATTGAAAATTTACCATCCCCCCTGGCCCCCCAACAAATTAAGGTTAAAAATTTCCACATGCAGGCTTAATTTTTAGTGCTTTTTATATTAAAATAAACTTGAATATTGACATTTTAATGATTCATAAAGATGTGAACAGGGATTAGGCCTTTAAAGTAACTCTTTATTCAACTGTTTATAACAATTTGTAACCTTACTAAGGTCAAAATAGTTCCAAATTTTACTATTTTTCGATTCAAAATTCCCAATTGGAAGGGTTTATTTCCTTGTTAACAATCGAAAATAAATCCCACATGAAATTTTTATATGACTATATTTTGCTTTATTTAATTTCGAAGCAACCAAATTTTATGTCCACAAATCCTTTTTAAGGGGTCCTGGGGATTAACTTTACACTTTTTCTTACATTTAGAGAATCGGCCATCAGGCATGTACGGTGTGTGTGTTTTTTTTTTACCGTAGGCCTAATGTAACGTGGCCAATCTCTAAACGTAAAAACATGTGTAATCTCAGTGTTTGAAACTCTAAAATTAGCTTTATATGCAGGGCTGATCGTCTCCTTACTTTGCGATTGTAGAGCAGACGCTCCATAAACCACTGGGCCACGCGGGCGACACCATTACTGTAATGGTCACTGGATAAAAATTATTTAGAATTCAGTTTTAGATAATATGATAAATAGGCTAAAATTTTTAAATAAAGAAAGCCCTAAAAGAAAAAAACTTACACGATGGAGCTTTTAAATTTCCAGGCGTCGATGTTCACTCAGCAACTCGCTTATTAGGCCTATAGAATCCCGATCCCGATCAGATATGTGCAGGAAATGCCAGTCGAATCAAGTAACACGTTCGCAAATATTGGATCGACTGTTTAAAGTAATATGTTTGGTAATATTTTGCTAAAGTAGGTCAGACTTGAAGAACAACCATATTCAAACCCAAAGAAGGTGTTGTGACAATGAATACAAATGTGAAATATTAAAGCCATAGCTCTAGGCCTAACCAATCGAAAGCTATGGGCAATCACAACGAACAGGGCAAAACTATAAACCCCGAATCTTAGGTAACCGGGGGGGGGTGTTATTGAATTTATTAAAATGCAATAAGATACTAATTTTCTCAAGTTTTCACGATGAATTTTAAACTAAAAGAAATCCTTAATTTTTAGTGACTTTAAATTGCCATGTTAGCACTGTATTTTCATTTCGTTTAGAAAATCATCTTAACTTAAACAATGAGATCGAGGGCAAAATGCGTTTTGTCGGAACCAAGAACCTAACTGTCTGCCTGTGGCCGTTAGGCCGAAGGCAGGCAGTTTGGTTCGAGGGTCGACAAAACGCATTTTGCCCGAGAACTCAGTCAATAAATTTTTTGTTATACCTTTCATTTGAATTTTCATTTCATTTTTTTTGACATACACGTATTTTGTACTGTCTTCAGTGATGTAATATCAGTCTGTCACTGTTGAACACCAACGAATGAAAATGAGAAGTCCTAAGCGTAGTCCTAAGCGCCGCCCCTTCTGTGACGTAAGCGGTCCTACATTTCACCTACCGGTCCAATATCTCACTCAGCGGCCAAACATCGGTTTTTTTATGCCCACTAAGCAAAACATTAGAAATGTTAGACCTTTTTCGTATAGATTTGTATAAAAACAAATTTTTAGAGGTATAACCAAAAAAAAATGTTCCTAAACTATGCCTTTGGTGTGCAATTTGAATTTCAGTCTATACTATATTTGCGTGGACCCTGAGGTCCACGCAGTAAATATATAAGCGAGGTTAAACCGGATGCCATGGGCAAACGACAGGATACGCATGCGCGAGAATGCTGGAGAGTTCGCATTTTAAGTAATTTGCTCGTAAAATAATTCGCCCTATTCGAATTAGAATATGCCATTCATTGGCAAATCGCGCTTTAATTTTAAATCCGCATATCGCATTTACATATTCATTGGCGGATCCGAATTTCCCTCTTATACATATACTTTTATATACAAACTAAACTTTGATTCTATGGTACAAACTAAACTTTGATTCTATTTTTTAAGCATTTTAAAAAGTAGGAAGAACTTGCTGTATATAGATACATGTAACTTAACAACTTGAATGAAAAACGTCATTCAACGACTAGTTCTAGCTTTTTAAAGATAGAACAGGTTTTCACCGCCATTAATTTTTTGCATCAAGGCTCGCAACATAATTTTTTTATTCCAGCAATCCAAATACCGTTTGATAGAGGTCTATAGCAACGGCTTTTACAAAAAAAAATCTGCGTGCTACAGAGCTGTGATACACGTGAACCATCAGATCTCTATTTTTCCCCTGATAGATTTCTTCCGCATAAATCCGGAACAGGTGTCAACCTCATTATGGGTTACATGTATCAAAATAGCCCGATTTTTGAAACTGACAAAAGTAAACGTACGCCGCTAAAATTTAACAATTTTGCTTTGAGACTACAATCATACGGAAGTAGCTGCAGAACTGTAGCTCTCCAAAAAAATTATATTGATAGACCGGAGAGCTACAGTGCCACCCATTGAAAAAATTGTATATTTATTGCGCACAAAAAAGTGCGCTGTTTCTCGATTTTTTTCTCCATGTTTTTAAAACTGCCATCTCAAAATATTACTAACCGTGAGTTCCTATCATATTTTTTCACTGTTTCCACAACATAACGTTCCTTATAATTGTTTTTAATAGCCCTTCTGGTCCTGAAATTGAGATCATCGAAAATTTCGTCTATTTATACTGCCATTTCGGTTTGCAGGAAAATTCAGCCCAACGCGCTTCGTTCAGATGTAAACTACG